TTTATAAATGTCATACGAAGACCGTCGAGCCTATCTATATCGAAATCTACCTGACTGCGTAACGAATGCCTTTTTTCTTGAAAAGCAAGCGCCTTCTTGTCATTGCTTACTGCGATCTTGCCTCTGTTTTGTCTTGATTGACTGGTTGTCTGTTCATTGTTTGATTGCGTAAAACGCCCAGTCTAACGAGTCGCATCCTAATTGATAGTAAGACAATAGATTTTGCCATAATAAGACCGCGGAAATGTTATCTATTGCGGGCCAGCTCGCGCCAACGTGCCTCGCTTAGTGAGAGCTCTTCGCGAGCTACTGAGGCAGGGGTTAAGCTTAGCTGAGACCGCGTTCGAGAAGGCACGGGCTAGCCGACTGAGCTGGGCCGGACACTACGGGAGCGGGAGGGAATTGTGGAGCGACAGCGCAATCAATAAATCAGACATAATTACGCCTTGCCTAATAACAAGCGCTCACAGAACCGATGGCCGAGCATTACGATGATCCACAGCCCCAGGAACATGCACGTCGATGAAGCTCTCGAAATCGAACTCCTGCGCCGATCCATAATCGGCGATCGCTACAGTAGAGATCGTTGTGGTGGATGCGTGAGCGAAAAACGTAGGAAGCATGGATCGTTCATCAAGAGTCTAGTAGACATCCCTATGTATGCTGAAAGCAACTGGTGACATTCTCTCTAAACATCCGTAGCTCTCTTTGAGGGCACTCCAATGGTGGTTGAAAAATCAGCGTTGTGTGCGTGCGCGTAATCTAGTCGATATTCGGATGGCTATTGCGGCGTCATGGATAGTACCCAGATGTGCACCGCATATGTTACGGTTGATGTAATAAGCCATCCATAACCTCCCGCACGATCCCCCCCCCCCCCCTCCCCCCCCCCCTCGTTGATCAGGTGTATACAGCACTTGACACTGAGCTTGTTCGCAGCTGATACTACAGCAGTGATGGTGCCAGTTGACCCATGAAATCGATTAGCAGATCCTACCCCCCCCCCCCCCCTGATGTACGACGAGTGGATCGTCTGTGCCCGTCCGAAGTGCTCATTACTGACGTGGATCGGACGTGTCTCGATGAGTGAGACGAGGTGTGAATTGCGAGGACTTGTCATATGGGGCTGTGACGGTTACATCAAAGGCGGGGATGCGGAGGATATTCGCTAATTCGGCACAGTACTCGAACCGTAGGTGACACGACCGGCGTATCGACGGATGGTACGATGCGAATGTGGCGCTGTTGTTGTCATTGTTCTCATATCTCACTCGGAAACGCCGAATTTTTGACACGGCTCGTCAGTTCTTTCGCTGAGCATGACTCCGTGACGCTACAAATCTCGGCCTTGTGCGTGCAGAATCTGGTGAAGGATTGGTAGCCAAGGATGAGATCGATAGCCTCAAATGACATGTTTGTATCGAACGATTTCACGCAGACCAGATGATGAGTCGGAACAGGAGATTGAATGGTTGTCTTTTCAGCCAATGCTTGTAGGGTGACAGACATCGTATATCGCATTGGGTATTGACTCTCCGTATCGTCCGCGCTAGAGGGCCCTCGATCGCAAGTGGTGGAGAATCGCTACTGAAAGCGCTAGCAGCTGGTTACTCCAAACTGAACGATTGCCCTGCATCCACGGTCCTCGAGGTTGGGCATGCATGCCGTGCATCGTGACTATCTGGCAGACTCGAGTAGAGTGGATTTGAGAAGACGAGCTAACCTCGAACGCTTAGTACTGGTATGTGAATACTGCGTGACGAAGGTGTAGTTTTTCGCCGTAGAAGTGTTGTCCGGAACGCCTAGGTGACATTCGCCGTGCAGAAAAGCTCAATCTGCAGTCCAGCATGTGAGTTGGAAACAGAAGTAAAGGGCCTATCGAACATGGTGGCGCAGCTGTTCGATAGAGTCTTCGAAGCAACGTCACACTTGCATAATTGTCGATCGGTCGGTGACTATTGCGGATCTCTAATGTTGTTTCTGATCGCAGCCGCTGTTTGCCGCAAATAGCACACCATGATGTGAGCATGTGGTTATGATGGCGAGATTCTGTCCCACGCACCAAGTAACGCACAATTGCTAGCGCTATGCGATAATGGTGCGTTAATGCTTCATCCATGTCCGAGACTGGTGGCAGACTGACGGCCTACAGTCCTCCAGGTATATATAGAAGTGATTACTTTTGAATATGACCGTCAATAGTGAGTGTCTGATTACATTGAGATCCGTCTGATAGTATGACACGAGTTCGGCTAGTGTAGCCCATCATGAATTACTGAATTGTGATATGGGTTCAAGGGTTGGTTTCTGTTATAAAGGGTAAACCATCTGTTCAATCACGTAGATGTGAGCGAGATCGGGTCTGCCCCCACCCCCCCCCCCCCCCCCCCCCCCGGCCGGCTGTCTTTGGTTGAAAGGGCAGCACCCCCCCCGTCCCCCCCCCCCCACCTCGGCTGCAGCCAATTAAGCATCGCTATACTGAAACATGCTCGAGATGAGTCGGCTAGTATGCAGAGACGCTCATCTGGGGCCTTCGATGACACTGCTTCATCGTTGGAGTCGCAGTACGCATCACGCAAACCATCATCGGAAACCCGACTTCCTGCTAAGACAGTGCTCGGTAGTCACAATTCGACCTGAGAAACGATGTGTGTGATACGTGGCAAGCTATGATACGATTCGAGAGATCAATGGACAAGATGAGAATCTGACCAGATACCAGGGTTAAACTTGTTTCATGCTCGCATCAAGCCTGTAGCCTGCTTTAGTCGAGCATGTGAGCAGAACACGACGCAGCCAATACGTCAGTGTCTGTACTAGACGCAGTATGCCGTACTTAATCACAGATGCGCGAGATGATACTGATTTTGCTATGTGGCTTGAACATCGAATACCCATTGATCCCAGGAGTAGAAATGTACGCCATATCGTATAGACGTCGTAAGAATCTCCTAGTCAGTAAACCACCTGTTTCTGCTTATGCGAGTTATGAGGATTACATGTATGCAGGCACAACGTCAAGTAGATTGGATCTGGAAGTCGATGATCATCACTGTGCGAGGATGTTAGCACAGCCCGGGATCATCATCCGTGCTATTGACGCAACAAACGGCCGGAAGCGATGAAACCTATTCTAGAATTTAATGAGTCGTTAAAGTCGATGTTCTATTGAAGAACCTATTAACGAGGTTGTGTAAGGGTGCGATTAAGGATGCACTGTTACAGCCGCTGAATGACGTCAAGATGAGGAAGATTTTTCTCAAGTACGTCACAGCCTGGCATGTCTGATACCGTATAATAAACAATTAATCTCTGATGGATCTCGTTCGAGGATATATGGCCAACTGCCGACATCGCAGAGAGATCTAGTGCACAACGAAGAATAAGTACATCGGCTAAGTTTGCAATGTCAATACATTGTGTCTATGATCAGGTCAATGTTGCCAGCTAGTCTGCATGGAGTTCTTTGGAGGACAGTCGTACACGCATGATCGAAATGGATGAATTATGTAACACCCTGGCTCAACATATGCATGGCGTGTTGAGATTATGTGTTGATAGATCTGGGCGAACTTGCGACAGAGCAGTGTGTTGTTATATGTGCTTGTGGCATAAGTATTGCTAGATCTGTACATCGTCGCGCTTAGCTACCTGAGACTGAACTATGAAGCAGCTAGTGACCAGGTACTGGAGCCGCTACGCCAGAGGTGCTGTGCACGATTCATGCTTAGAGCCCCGATGTCAGTCTGAAACTCAAATAAGCCGTTTAACTAAAGAGATACAGCCAAGGGCCTCTCGCCCATCCCCTATCCAGGTTGATTGCCTCACAAATAGATCTAAGCGTATGCGTGTGAGGATAACTCAATCGTTCGCGGCAACGGCGACTCACAGCTACGGCATCAATCCTCACTTCGGAAGATAAACGCGACTGATCCGAATCAAGTGCTTCGCTTAAACCAAAATCCAAGCAGTCATCAGCTCCCGGTTCGTTCTTGGGTTATATTAGGTGATGGCATTATGATTTCTAAGTTTGCTTCTTGGCCCCTCCAGGTCGCGTAGAGCAAGATCAGGTCGTTGATTTAAAAGCCTGCTTCGGCCCGTGAGAATTAAATGTGAGGCTTATAGTGCCGTACCGTGTGGACAGGCTGAAGCGGACCAAGCCTCGTGGACCATCGAACAGCGTCGATTATGCGCACCTAGGTCCAAGAAGTGTCCCAGGCGACAGTGTCTTACAGGTTAACTCACCCAACTTAGCCTCCGGTCGAGTGCTAGATATCGAGCCAGATGGCAGCATATGAAAACGAATCACGTCAGTGCGTACTGATGCTGTCTGCACGCCTAACCAACGAGCAATATTCTGTGTGTCAATCCGTGTGCTGTGTTATAAAGTAGCTGACCACTACTTTCACGGTGCTGGGATTGTCAGGACGGTGGGAGTACGCGAGGCAGAAGCGTGGCCTGCACGACGGGGACGCGGACGGACTAGAAGTAATCACACAACGGAGAAACAAGAATGTTTTGGCCAATCGGTATACTATGTCGGTATGCAGAATTGTTCGTCAATGCGCTGTGAGGACGAGAAGTACTAGTAGTGATCGCTGAGATTAGACCCGTGAAGACTCTTATCGGGGCGAATGACGAATTCCGGGTCGTCATTTTGATGACCTGTCAGACCGTACTCAAACGCCCCGCCCCCTCCCAGTGGTTGATGGACAGGCGAAAGACCCGCGGGGACGGCTTGCGCGATGGGCCTACCGATTGCAGGAATTCAACTTCACCATTGAGCACGTGGATGGAACGCAAAATGTATTGCCAGATATGTTGTCACGCCCGTGTTTGGACGACATCATGCCAGACAATGCCATACCGGTGCGTGCGTTCGCGATGGGGGAGAGGAACCTGCTGGGAGATCAAAGGTCAGATGAATTCGTGAATGTGTTGTGCTCTCACTTACAGGCTGGCACCAAACCGGAAGCCCATCGGATGAGGTGGAGGAACTCCTCAAGATCTGGGACAGGTTGAAGGTCGAAAACGATAACGTGGTGGTGGCGATAGACGGACGGAAAGTGCCTTTTGTTCCACCAAATCAGCGAGAACGTGTGATGCGTATAACTCATGATGGCACCCATATGGGATTCGAGCGGGTCTTTGAATTGCTGCGGAGGCGAGTGTTTTGGCCAACCATGAGGAAGGACGTCGCGGCATACATTCGGGGGTGCCCAAACCGCCAAACGAGTCGGGAGATGGAGTCCCCGAGACCGCCGATGCGATCGATGGAGGTTGGTGAGCCACTTCAGTGTTGGGGACTGGACGTCTTTGGGCCCTTACCAGTGAGTCGAACAGGAAACAGATACATTCTAGTGATGATTGACCATTTCACCCGCTGGGTGGAAGCCATACCAATCAAGGACCAAACAGGCGAGACAGTGTCGCAAGTATTCGAATTCAATGTGCCTGCAAGGTATGGAATCCCACAGTGTATCATCACGGACCAAGGGCCCTGCTTCGAGTCAAAAGCGTTTAAGTCAGTGTTGGACAAGTGGGGCATCCAGAGACGGCGAACTTCACCGTACCACCCACAAACCAACGGCATGACCGAGCGGTTCAACCGGACATTGAAGACGTGGATAAACTGCACGAAGTTGGCATGGGAAGATGCTTTGCCTCAGGTTCTGATCGCGTATCGGAGCAGCATGCAATCAACCACCAAGGTCGCGCCATTCGAATTACTGTTCGGCAGAGAACCACGGATAGCGCTCGATACTTGCCTACCGAACCAGAGCGAGCGGAAACATCCAGCTGGGCATCAAGAGCGACTGCGAGGGAAAGCTAGAAGCGAAACCAAAGCTCGACAAGCGCGGAATAAGCGAAATTACGACGCCAGGCATGAGGCTCACAAGTGGAGGCCATTCAGGATTGGAGAACAAGTCAAGTTACGGAATAATGATCGGCCGGATCATGACGGGCCGGGAGCAAGCAAGTTCAGAGAACGCTGGAAAGGCCCCTACACCATTATCGACCAGAACGCGGGCAACTTCTTAATCGACTGCGGAGGAATAAAACGCTGGGTTAATGCTGCTCTCTTGCGACCATGGTACGAGTGGAAGAAAGGTCCTCGAG